TCTCCCTCCCTCTCCCTCTCTCTCTATCTCCCTCTCCCCCCCCTCTCTCTCTCTCTCTCACACACACACACACACACACCAACTCTCCATGGCAAGATTGACCTGTGTGCACCAACCCTGGCTTTGAGGGTCCTTCTCTTTCCAGCAACTTCAGCAGTCCCTCCCTGGCCCCCCTCCTCAGAAGGGCTGCCTCTCTGTCTGGGGAACTGGCCCTATGAGGATGCTGGTGAGAGCGAGAGACGCAGCCAGCCCAGCCAGCATTAAATTGACAATATCCACAAACGATAAATCTCCTTAGAGGAGATCTGTAACTAGAGACATGAAGAAATGCAGGTCTTCTGTGAAGTCTTTTTTTTTTGGGGGGGGGGTGGGGGGGTGGGAATGAAAGGCCTCTGACTTGCTTTAAAGAAATCTAAATAGATAGATCTGTAGAATATGAAGTGCTTGAACCACAGTTCTGTTAGGAGTTCTCACAATGGAATTTAAAGCCTGGCTGAGGAAACGCAGGTTTTTTCCAAGTCACAGCCGCGATTTCGGTGGGTTACCTTGCCAGCCGAAAACTTAAACTTTTCTTACAGTTTTGAACCTGCATTTTTATCTGGGCATATTTCTATCTTTATTTATTCTCCCAACTTGTGGCAAAGCCAGCTGAAAACTCCGTGTTTGGCTGATAGAACGTTGCTGCCCCCTAGTGGCCAGGAAAAGCATGGGACATTCCATGCTGAAAAGCAGCATAGCAGTCCAGGGTTAATTCTGCAATTAGAAATTGGCCTTTTGCAGGAGTCTAGCGCTGCTTTTTCAGTTGTCTCGGACCGCTGCCGTGCATGAAAAAGTCACGAAGTTGTGGAGTTAAACAGCGACACATTCTGTGCGGTCTGACAAGTCCCATCTTCCAAGCACCCCTTCTTTTCCACGTGCTGGCTTTTTGGGGTATGTCAGCATCTGCTGAATGCGAAACGATACTTTATAGTTTTTGGAAAAAAAGAAAATTGGGGATGGAAAAAAAAGAGAGAGGAAAATCTTAAAAATTGGCAGAGGGACATCAGACTTATCCAAAAGAGAAGCAACTTAGAACTAAGGAGAAATTTCCTGACAGTGAGGAAAATTAACCAGAGGAACGGCTTCCCTTCAGAAATTGTGGGTGCTCCCCCACTGGAGGCTTTTAAGAAGAGACTGGACAGTCACTTGTCTGAAATGGCATAGGGCAGGGGTCTTCAAACTGCCGGCCCGTGGGCGGATGCGTCATGCGGAAGCTGGGCCCACCTCAGCTCCAGCAAGGGGAAAAAAAGGTGTGATACGTCGCGACACGTCACATGACGCAGCAAGTTTGACACCCCTGGTAAATGGTTTCCTGTTTGAGCAGGGGGCTGGACTAGAAGACCTCAAAGGTCCCTTCCATCTCTTGCTATTCTGTATTTGTTGCTCATTTGTTAGCGGGATCCTTTTAAAAATCTCATCTTCTGCACCTAATGAGACCAAGCGTGCTAAAGTCACGTTGCCATGAAAATAAAGACCGCTTTATTTTAGCAATTTCTAACCATTTTATTTGAACAATGTTAGCAAAAGATCCGATATTTAATGTTTCAGCATTGCTTGCCTGGCTCAGAGGCCAAAACGGCCAGCTCAGCCTGCTTCTGCCTTGTCCGCCCTCAGAAAAATGGCATCTCCACAGAACAGGATCCTTTTGTTTCCATTCAGCCTTTGTGGCTTCCAGGGTTGTGGAAACCCCTGATAGGCGCCAATCTCTTTTGAAGAGGAAATCAAGGTTTCCGCTTTACCCAAAGCCCCTTTGACTCAGGGTTACCCCCCATTTCCATGCTTTGGAGCCTTCTCTGGGTCGTTCCAACGTAGGACATCTCCTTGGGCCGTCGTCAGAAGCAGCAGGGTCTGTCGGAGGTGGAGAATCTGATCGAGGCTCCAGGGGATTCCTGCCTCAAGGTTTCAGCGGCTTGCTAGCCATGAAATCCAGTCCTGTCTCTGGGCCCTAGGGAGAAAAACAAAACAAAACAAAAAATAAAAAAAATAAAACAGTCAGACAGCTCAAAGGAGAGTCCCTCAGTGAGGAGGACACAAGCTCCCTGGCTTGCCTACTTTACTCTGCTACCAGGTGGGGATGGGAAGGAAGAGGAGCAGAGGGCTGCCTCTGCAGGGAGGGCACCAACTTGACTTCTGGAGGGCATGGGGCGTTGGTGGTGTCACCTCAGCAACAGCTGGATTGGAGCCGGATGGCCGTCCGTTTCCTTCGTTTTGCTTTTGCTTCCATGCGCGATCTACACCCCTGGGATTTCCCGGTGGTGCCACATCCAGCCCAAACCAGGTCTGAGCCACTTACCTTTTGGGAGAGCTTCCGAGGTTGGTTAAGCACTTCCACCACCACGTGTGACACCGATGGTTAAGTTGCTCCAGAAGGATCACCTCCGTCTGTCGGAGGGAGTGGCAGCCTGGACCAGGGGTAGGCAACCTTGGCTCTTTTATGACTCGTGGACTTCCAGAATTCCCTGAGCCAGCATGGGGGAACTATGGCCCCTTCATGACTCGTGGACTTCAACTCCAGAATTCCTGAGCCAGCATGGTGGAATTATGGCCCCCTCATGACTTGTGGACTTCAACTCCCAGAATTCCTGAGCCAGCATGGGGGAATTATGGCCCCTTCATGACTTGTGGACTTCAACTCCCAGAATTCCTGTGCCAGCATGGGGAAAACTATGGCCCCCTCATGACTTGTGGACTTCAACTCCCAGAATTCCTCAGCCAGCAGGGCTAAGCATGGAAACCTCTCCCTTTCCCCTCAACATGGCTGGCTCAGGAATTCTGGGAGTTGAAGTCCACGAGTCATAAAAGAGCCAAGGTGGCCTACCCCTGGCCTGGAGTCTTAGGTGGCCAAGGGTGTCTTACATCACGGATCTCTCTCGT